GGGGATGCGTTAAACAGGAAAATCAGGAGGTGTAGAGGCGGTTGTAAATGTTTGATTCCACAGCTAGGAACTGATGTCCTGGTGCCAGTTTAGACATTGAGACACCCACAGGGACATTGTCTTGTTTTATTATCAGTGTTACTCAGTAGAGAAGTGACACTTCATGCAGAATGAAATGAAGTTTTATCTTTAGGCACAACCTGTTCTAACCTTTCTGGAGGTGAAGGGTTCTGAGGTGCTCTTCTGGCAGTGAAAGAGAGTTGGAACACTCTGTTCAAAATGTTTAAAATATCTCTCATCCCATATGCTACAGTCCTGCACCTTTGGGTTAGACGATAAAGGTCCATGAGATTCTGATTTGGTAGCACACAAGGATGTGATTTCTGGATTCTGAATGAATGCCGAAATCATTTTGAATGTTCTTTTTTCTTTCCCAGCAGGGAACAATTCACATTATCGTTCTTGCCGGGTCAAATGTCACAGGATGCAAGACATTTTGCTCTAGCCTAAAGACAACTAGCTTCCAGCCAGTGCCGCAATCTGTTCATATGTGACAAATAATCAAGCTGAGTCAGATGCAATTTAAATCTCTTGAAATAATGCTCATTCTGATTGGCTGGCTCTTATTATCTCTGTGTGTGGCTTGTCAGTCATGTTTTCCTATATTAATTAGCATTTAGCATAATCTGAATTCTGCATGCAAATTAATTCAGCGGTAATGGCAAGTATAATTAGGCGAAGCTGGTTTTCCTCGATCAGCCTTTAGTGTATTATTTCTTTCACGAATCCACTTTAAGGATTTCGTTTGGTCATTAATTGCTGACTAACCAGAGTCTAACAACTATGGAGAAAATATCGGGTAGCTGGCCTATCCGCCGTGGGGTGATTTATCATGACGTGCGTCCGTCTGTCGGCGGGAGCCGTCAAGCTGTGAACTCAGGCTTCCCAGTCAAACACCACGGCTCGTGTGCTGCCTGGCATGCACAAGATTTTAATTTCACACCCAAATTAATAAGCGATTTATTATTAATTCCTGTCTGAGCAGCACCGTTCCTCAATTACCCACCGGCGACAGCGATTGTGTAATCAGTAAACGCAGTCGTGTTCAAATGACTTGGTTGGGTGACACTGGCATCCGAATCAGCTAATTCTACAAACGCGTGACACACTGCGGGTCCTTTGGATGGGGGGGCTTGGGGTTGAGGGAAATGGGAGTAGCAGCTGGAGACAGAGGTCCCGGGCCAGCTCTCACCCAGTGCTAAGCGTGACCACAAACGCTACGCTCCGGAGCGCCGGTTTAATGTGCAAAATCCTGCCACATGGAAATGCACTTGTGGCATTTCCCACAGAGCACAGACCCCATCACTCTCGTTTTTTAGATAGAGCCCTGTGACACATACAGTATCAGTTAAAAGTTCGGACACACCAAGCCACATACAAAGGAGAGAGATAGTGTACCATCACATGACCTCTCCACCTGATCTAAACACACTAGAAGTGGAGTTGGACCAGAGACTGAAGGGAAGACAGCCAATGAGAGCTCAGCATATATGTGGGACCTCCTTCAGGACAGCTGGAAGAGCATCCCAGGAGGCCATCTCATGGAACTGCTGTAGATGAGACAGTAAGGTCAGCCAGTCCCTGGAGCAATTGGGGTTAAGGGCCTTGCTCAATGGCCGAATGGTGGGATCACTCTGCTGACCCAGGGATTTGAACCGGCAACCTTCTGAGTCGCGACCCACAAAGCTGCCCCCTCTTGGTCACCGGTCTGTTTTTATGGTATCCTGGATGGCGGATAACCTCCCCACCCCAAATTATTTATCGCGGTTTCATCAGTCGTGTCTGCATCTTTAACACAAACAAATGCAGTAAGGGATTGGTGTGGTACGAGTGTTTGGCACAGGCTGGTTTGGCTTCGCAATAAGGTCACGCATGAATTCAGGCAGGCTGGCATCTGGGAGCTGATAAAACAGACTCGGGTGCCAAATTAAAGTGATAGAGTGTAAAAAAAGGTGCACTGGTGGATAATGAAGAGTGACTGCAGCTGCTTTCTGTACCTGCTGGTTGGACGGATGCCTGACAGCAGAGCCAGCTGCGAAAATTTCACCTTATCAGTTGTTAACACAGGAATGCATTCCCTCCTGATACAGCCCTGATTCAGACTCCCATCAGCCTGGGCTGCTCCCCAACTATACCTCCTTGCACTGGATTTTTGCTGTTTGCTTGTTTTCAGCTCGTGGGAGTTCTACTTACACAAAAATGCTCCGAGGGCAGAATGAAAAATGATTGGTTCAGGTAAATAACCAATCAGATTATAGCAGAGGTGGGTCCAAGCAACTAGAGGATACGGGACCAAGACATCTAATTGGCTGGCTTGTGCAATGTGATTATCTCTTTGGACTAATGATTTTTTGTTCTGCTATCAGAACGTTTTTGTGTAAGTAAAACTCCCATGAGCTCGTTTTCAGCCATGGTGTGATCGAGGCCAAGGTGCTGCGGGTTGGGTGGGGGGTGTCTCTGAACATACTGTATCTGTCTGCCATTGAGTTACAGGCACGCTGGAAAGTCATTCTGAGAACTGCTATTTTTACATGAAGTCGGAAGCTTCTGAAGGAATCTTAGAAAGGGAACTGATCTATAAATGACACAGAACTTCAAAGAATTTCCATATCTCTTGTGTGCCCTGATCAATCTTGCCCCCCCGCCCCCAATAACACCCACCCCTTATATTTACATTTGTTACACATCGTTCCCTCTCTGAGGATTCTGGTGGTGCGGCAATCCCCCCTCCCATCCCTATTTTTTTCTTCTTCCTCGATTCCGTCCGCAGCAAATTCATAATGGGCGCATTTCTCGGACTACAAAGAGTTCTGGGAATGACTGGGGGGCCTGGAGCGAGCCGGCAAAGGAAGGGGCTGTTTCCGAGCTGCTCCGTCGCTGCTGGCGTTTGCTAGATGAAAGCATAGCAGCCGCGTCTGCCAGCTTGGGTCCCGTGGGTCTGCACGCAATTTGTGCCACTCAGATGTGCAGACGTGTGCCCGTCGGGCCTCTGGTGGCCACAGGCCTGCCTCCACGGCGCCCCCCCCCCCCCACTACTGCCAGAGCAAACTGCCCAGCAGAAGGAAGCCGCACGTCTACGCTCATTACTCGGCAAAAAATATGTAAATAAGCGTGACCCGTTAACCAGTGAAGGGGATAAGAGGCAGCCCATGGGGACGCATCAGTAGCCATTAGCGATATTTTCTCCCTGCAGCTCAGTCACAGGAAACAGACCTGAGTGATTGTGACGGAATAAGGTGATGGAGCCCCGAAATCCCCCAATTACCCATAACGGCTGATTGCCTGGCAACTCGGTAAACGAGCTCGTTTGTATTCAACCTTTCCACAAGGTGGTCGCCCCGTGTGTGTGTGAGGGGGGGGGAATGGGCACAGGTGCAGACTGCCACGCCTCTCAGTCGGCAAAAGTGATGATTGGCTTTGCAGCCGCAGCAGGGAAAATGCAATGTGCCCACCTACTGCAAACATGTCAGTCCCCCCCCCCCTCCCCCCCCACACCACACCAGACCTAATAGATGATCCCAGAGCCCTAGTCGAGTTGCCTTGTCACTCACTGGGTGCAGTCAGAGCCTCCCAGAACAGGAAATAATTGGCCTTCTTAAATAAGAGATAAAGTGCATTAAAGGTGATTAATAAGTAATAGCAGTGGAGAATGCGGGCCTGAAGCAGCTCCCCAGCCCACTTAGCAAACAGCGGCTGAGATGCTCAGGTGCGGGGGGGGGGGGCTCCTCCTGCACATCGCCATCCCCGAGGTTCTGTTTTAGCTTCGGAGGCGCTCCGCTTCTCCATCCCCTGGCTTCCCGGGTATTACCTGGTCTGCAGCCTAAGCTGCAACTTCATCCACGACCGCAAACCATAAAAGCAGCTTTCTAAAGTAACACCTTTTTTTAAAAATAAAAAAGTGCAATACTTTGAGAAATTAACACAAAAGGCTCATGCTTTATAAAGATTTAAATTGGTGCTGTGAAAATGAGGCTCCGCCCAGCATCGATTTAGCTGTGAAATACTTGAGTGTTTCATATTAGAGATTGGGGGAGGGGGGGAAGTGGTTTAAAAAAAGCCATTTTTTCCTCTTATAGTCGATTGTGCCTCTCTACAGAAAATAGCACTTAAATATAAGCTCCTTAAAAAAATCACAAAATATTCACTGGCGTCGTCTTTTTTTCTCGTCTCTTTTGTGTTTTGTGCCGGAGGGAAAAAAAAAAGCAGGTCTGCAAGCGCGTCCTGATTACTGTTCCCCCCCCCACCACCCCCCAAGTCACTGAAGTGCGTCGCAGTGGGGCTCCGTGAGCACAGCAGTGTGCTGATACACTGTGTTGCCATTACAGCAACGTCACATGGCATCTGGCTACAACCCAATTCCCCTGCCCTCTCGAGTGTCACTGATGCTTAACTCTCTGCACTGTCTGTCCTCCCAGATGTCCACAAAACCGCCATGTCGTTCATTCTTTAACAGTGTGGAAAATAGCTGCAGTTTTTTATATGTGTTTGTCACTCAAGGGAAATTCTGCGAAAGAACAAGCAGTTCATTGTAAGAAAGAAAAGGTGTGGACTCAGGGGGCTGGGGTGCAATCAGGTGACTGGGACATCAAATCCCTTCAGCAGAAACCTGTTATGTCTCACAGAGGCTGAGGAAATGAGAATTTAGGTTCCTTTCTTGCAGAGGTGAGAGACGGACCGATTTCACAAGTGGGGGACTGTTTTTGTCATCCGGTGCGCTATGCAAATTCACAGTCAGAAGGATGACAGACAAGAAGACAGTAGGCTGGTGTTGGAAAGTTATTGTGAAGCCTCAACAGGAAAAAGCAAGAAAAAGAAAGGAAGTAAATATAGAATAGGTTCTCCCTGACTAATTCTGTGTGTCTGTGTGCATCTGTGAGAGAGATGGAATTACTTCATTGCATAACTAAACATTTTTTCCCTCTTCATTCTTTTACTTTAAGACCGGAAGTCAGACAACAGCCACCACGGGACTTTGAGGATGACGGGCCGGGTTCCTTCATGGGACACGCCCCCTGAGCTCAAGCTGCACCCCCCTTACCCTACCTCACCCTCAGCTGAGGACTCCGACCCGGGACCCCCCAGGATGTCACTGGACCCACTGAGTTTTACTGGTGAAACTGAACTGCATACATGGAAATATCAGCGGTGGGGGGCAGGGTGTTCATGTAAATACCACTGAAGGAGAAAGTATACAGAGTCTTCTGTATTTTGTGAGGCGTCTTTGTCTTATAAGGTGTAAATGTGTAATATTAAAAGCAAACGTCTCCAAATGAAATTAAGCTGCACTAGAAAATATCTGTGACCTAAAGAAGGCCACAAAGCACCCACCCCATTCAATTTCTAACAGAAAGCATGGGGGATTAGCCTTAAATGTTTGCGACTTAGTTCAGTCCACATACCACCTGCTATGGCTGTAATTATTTCCCAAGAACACAGCATGGGATCCCAGAATCCCGCTGTCACTTCTGATACGTCTGCCCTTCCATCAACCCTGGATGTGTTACAGATGACTGGACACGGGGTCCAAATCAGCCAATTTAGCTGCTGCGGGGCTCAAGCCTAGCTTTACATCCCGACCATAGTCTTGGGACGTTCCTCATCGCTGGCATCCTTCTAGGCGGGCAGGATTCACATGGCACTGCATTCGTTCTTCCACATGAAGCACGCGGGGGCGGGGAAGGGGGTTGCATTTTACTTTGGTTATGATGGTGTCAATTACTGGGGTTTCCTCATTCAGAATGATGTGATTCTCTTGATATTTTATTGAGCTATAACTGGATGCCAGTCTCCACGAGGATTATGGGAGGACTGCTTTTTTCCCATCATGTCTGGTCACCGTGACTCTGCTGTGAACATTGTCATCACTGCTGCACTGTTCTCGGCCATTGCTCTCCAGTGTCACTGTGCCACTGATTGTGTCCTCGGGGTGCGATGCTGAGGTGTGTGTCTGCAGTTTGTTTTATTGTTTTAATGTTTATCACTGTCGAATCAATGCCTTACCTTTTCTTTTGTTTCTTTTCTTGATTTTCTATTTTGAAATGGCCGTAGAGGTGGTTATTTTTAACACGGTTAAATCTGATCCCTGTGAAATCTAATAACTGTTTGACCTATTTTGAATGCAGCTCAGAAGCACAGCATTAATATGTGACTTGAATATTAACATTATGATTTGAATAGCAGGGACAAAATCTTCTGTCATTTCTAGGGGGGTTTGACAGCAACACCGTGTGTTGCCCATATTTTTGTGTTTATGTCTTTGGAGAGTGTAACAAAAATGAATCTCTGTACATGTTTTCTATGCAGCCATAAACCAGTGTTTCCCAACCCAGTCCTTGGGGACAGACGGTTCACGTTTTTGCTCCCTCCCAGCTCCCTGCCAGAGAGTCCACATTTATCACTGAGCAAAAACGTGGACTGTTTAGGAGTCCCCGTTGACCGGATTGACAAATACTGGGAGGTGGCCAAGAATGAATGTAAAAAGTAAATAAAGTTAAAGCAAACACAGTCCCTAATAGCTGGCTGAATTTTGAGGAATGGGACAGCCAAAAGGATCATGAGATACAGGGAGGAATGGGACAGGCAAAAGGATCATGGGATACAGGGAGGAATGGGACAGGCAAAAGGATCATGAGATACAGGGAGGAATGGGACAGCCAAAAGGATCATGAGATACAGGGAGGAATGGGACAGGCAAAAGGATCATGGGATACAGAGAAGAAAAAAAGTAAAAGGGATGATAGGCGATGACAGTGGCTTAACCAAATACTGGAGAGATGCCAAATGGGGTGTTGGATCATACATGGGCAACAGGGACACTCATCGGTGTCAGTCTGGAATTACTGGGGCGCCAGAGAAAAATGCATTTGATCCTTTATATGGAACGGAAGTAAGGGAACGGTGAACTCATCACCTGATCTCTCCCCATTCAAAGCCCCCCCGCCCAGTTCAGATACATTACTTAGAGATCACAGAAGCACATTTCAGTCATGTTCATTGGGTCCCGCCAGACGGCTGCTGGAAAGCCTGAGAGATCGCCAAAGAAGCATCTTTGTTCTGCTCCAGCCTGCTTCCTGTCCACCAGGACCCGGTTCAGACGACAGATCACGAGAACTGTCATGCTCACAAGACATTTTTTAAGCACTGGGGGATTCTCAGCACTATTCCCACACTTTGATGAATGTCTAATCTGGCAGTGCTTCTCCGGGTTCGATCGCCTCCCGCCCTGTAGTAGAGCCGGCTATGGGCCTCTGGGCTGTCGGACTCCCAGGCTGGTTCTGTCTGCAGCAGAAACCCCCAGACACGCCACCATCCTAACCCGTCGCCTTCATCCATCGATCTACTCCCATCAAAGGGGCAATAATAAGCCTCCAGGAAATGAACAGACCAAACGATTCGGGAGGAAATGAGGAATACGACTGATGGTCTGATGTTCTTTACTAGAACCCTCCCCCGCCCAAACACAGACACACACACACACACACACACACACACACACACACACCCTGCAGTCAATTACCCCAGATCACAGCACCAATGCACACCTGCCGTCTCTACACCTTGATACTCGGACATAGCCCCAGCCAATCTCAAAGCGCAATTTGTGTATTTGCGTTGACAGAAACTAATTGTTCTGTGGGCCCTAAGATTAAATTAAGTACGTGACGGGGGTGTGAGTGGCTTTATGGCTTTGATTACCATAGTCAATGTCTCCTCTGCCTGTACTAAAGGATTTTATTAGTCGCTCATCTGATAGCTCCATGAAGGGCTACGGTCAGGTCAAGGTCGAGAGGAACAGCTGAGAGTTTCACAGAACTATTTTTACTCCATCGCGTACTCTGTTACTCCACCACACCATCACAACTGTATTGTGTATGTTTGTGTACAGTGTGCGTATGTGAAACTATCGGCATCATACACAGCAAAGATTTACATGCCCGTTCAAGATGAAGAAAATGTGAAGCCCGCCACACAATAAATGCCCTCAATATAACCCCCCCCCCACACACACACACACACACAACACACACACCCAAAGGCCATCTCGCATTCGTTCCCTCATTTTCCTGTCTCGCCCTCATATCTCTGTCCGCACGCCTCAGCCAGCAGACCTCCACTCAGATCGATTCTCCCACGGTCCTCTCCCCAATTAGGTTCTACCCGAGTCATCGATTTCTCCCCTCTTCTTGTCCTCTGTCTTTCCATGCACCTCTCTGTCAGTCCAACCTTTTTCATTTCTGTGTGGTGCCTCCCCCCCTCGCAGGGAGCATAACGATTAATCAGCGCGGATGGCGATGGCTCTGGGCATGGTTCAGGATGAAGGTAGATGCCGTCGGAGTGCGCTCTCACATGCTGCCGTTAAAGTCCGTGCCGCTACACTCGATAGGGTATTTGGCCCTGGATCTGAAATGTACATAAAGCCGTATTTTTCATCCTCAGAATGTAAGCAAGGTCACGAGCGCCATGCAGAAAAGCTGGTTCAATTATTACGTATAGACAAGATTAACCATCTGCTTTCTGGGCCTGCATGGTGACACAGTGGGCAACCCAAGTACCTCACACCTCTGGGACTGGAAGCCTCCACCTCTGCTCTGTGAGTGTGGAGTTTGCATGTTCTCCCTTGTGAGATTCCTCTAAGTATAGTCTGGTCAAAATTTGTTCCTTTTTGGCGGAAAACTAAAATACCCAAAATTCTTGTATTTTGTTTGGTTACTTATGCTTAGGGCTGGGTTAGGATTAATGGAGAGTCCCACAATGACTGTATATCTATAAACTCCATGCGTGTATGTGCCCAGCAATGGACTGGTATCCAGCACAGGGTCGGGGGGGGGCTGGAGCCTGTACCGAGAGGCATAAGGCACAAAGCAGGGGATACCCTCTATGGGAATTTATTTGGGGGTTGGGGGGGGGGCACAATGAGCTATTTAGAGACACCTGTCCACCTAACTGGATGTTTCTGGGCTACAGATGGAAACTGAAAAAACTGGAAGAAACCCAGATAGGATTCAAACCCGCTATCCTAGCGGTGCGAGGCTAAAGTGCTACTGCCCCCTAAGTCAGCATGCTACCCGAAAATTACTCACTATGCTACATTAAGTGTCTGTCAAGCCTACAGCAGAGTATAAAACACCACATCATGTCTTAAAAGCTTTAGACAGACTCACTCTGATGCATCATGGAAATATTCTTTCCGCTTATACTTCAACCCTATTAATTTCTACACAAGACGCTGGCTGTTTCACTGCCAAGCTCCTGTTTTTATGGAATAACTCAAGTGCCCATGTCTGGGATTCAATCAAGCCTACAGTCAAATCCGACCTATTTAGTTTCTCCTAAAGGTGGCAGTTGGAGTCTAGATACTGCCTACAGGGCTAATAGTGAGTCAGGCTGTTGGTTCGGCTATCCCGACGTTAAATGCACTTACCTCTAATGGCCATTCCCTGCTGTTCTGACCGCCTCTGGTCTCCCTCATGGTTGAGTCTATTCTCTAGCTTATATCTTTTTTTTATCATATATTACTTTTCTCTGCCTATTCCATAGCATACTTAGTCAGCTTATTACTTGAGGGTAACCAGAACTACTTACCAGAAAAACACTTTTCTGCTTTCCATTTTCCCTCCTGCTTGGGGCTATCTATCCATGACCTAATATATCATTGGTCGAGCCTGCTGTCCCTCATCCAAGAGCTAGATCACCTGACCATGGCTGGTCACCCAATCGTGGTTGCCCAAGCCATTTTCATTTTTTTGTACGTCATTTATTACTGTATTACTGCTTTTATACACACATTCCCCGGACGTTATTGGTTTTAGATTCCACCAAGAAAAAATGTAGCTGACCTGCTAAAATTTGCTTACATAAATGCAACATACTAAATAAATTTTTACCCGACAAGAGAAAATAACATCGCAGACTCCAGATAAGACGCAAGGCCAAGGTCTCCTAAGGCTCCCACCATCCCTCTGAACATGATGGAGCTCAGAATTGCTATAGCATAAAGTATCTATGATTTAATAGTGCTCTCTCTGAATGGGTGGGGAGTAGGTGGAGAAGTGGGAGGCTTCTTTAGATGTGGTAGAGCGGTTCACGTGGGAAAGGACGAGTAGGTTCCTGTAGGCATGGAGTAGGTGAGGTTAGCATGAACCTATAGATTTCCATAAGCGTGTAGGAGAAGCAGCTGCGAGTGATGACGGGCAGGCCCTGTCAGTGCACCGTCAAGGGACACGGACATGACACCAGACTAGAGAGCGCACAGGAGATGACTGTCATTCTGCATTTAAGGGTGAGCAAGGCATGACAGTCGATGTGTGGAAACGGCGCAGTACTGACAAGCTGGGAATGCTGGGGATCCATCTCCTGATCTCCATGCTTTGTCAGCCTGACTGTGTGGTGCTGGCTTCTCTGACCCTGTAACCAGGTCTGCCCCATATCCGGGTGGAAACCATGGATTATTGAAGACGTTTATGCACATTTAATAGGGCAGCAGGTAGCATAATGGGGACGAACAAGGACTCGTAACCTCGAGGTTGCCGGTTGAAGGCGTCTGCGTCCTGTACTTAATCTGCATCGGTATGTTCAAATTTGGGGGGTTCTTCAGATACAAAACCTCAGCTAGGTAACTAACTTTTAATTTATCAGGAGAAAGACTCCATTGGACTGCTTTGTGTCCCCTGCTTCCAAACTTATAGTTACCCTGCGATGGATATGTGGTGTGGAAGATGAATGGATGGATGGATTAAAGACCCTGTAAAAAAAAACACCCAAAACTGCTTCTGCAAGGTTAAATGTCCACTTATCTTCCATTTTCCAGTAGGACGCACAGAGCGAGGGCAGTCGTTTGCTGCCTGGCTGACTGCCCCGATGGCAGATGTCCCGCCATGTGAGTCCCTCCTGCATGAGTATCCGTCAGGCTAGGTAGCCCCGCCCGCTTCCATCAGCCCTTAGCCAATCACATGGCTTGCTGTGTCGATCGCCCGCCTCCTGCTCCTTGAGCTGCTGTGTCCATGGCAATAGACTCCCAGTGCAAGCCATTAATACTGCCCCCCTTGCCGAACACAACTCGTTTGGGTTCTGCTCCGGCGCACTGTAGATTAAGTTTTGCTTTGTTCGTCTCTCATCCCTCCCTATTTCTGTTAGAATAGATATCACAGACTCGAGTAACCATCCCACCTTCATTAACCTTTCTGTTAATTGCCTCCCTGCGATAAAAAAAGACACAAGCTGCGAAAGGGCGAAGCAATAATTTTAGAAGCGATTCAGGCGCGATTATAGTAAAGCCTTGTATGATTTAAGTTTCTATGTTCTCTATCAGGTAATATAATTTTCTGGTTTGCTAATTTCCATATCATGCACCCAACTCTCAGAGTGGTTTGTAACATCCCCATGGAAACAGACCATCACCAAAATAATATGGTGGGAAGGGGGGGGGGGGAGGAATCCGTGTTTGAACATATTCTCAGCTGTTGTTCCTGCACAGTGCATATCTGCAGTATTGATCGCAGCCAGAGT